GTGCATATAAAGACATTCACTTTTCAGACTTAAATTATTCTTTGCACCCGGCTGTAAACGAGGACTCCTGGACATTTGCAGCCCGCCTCAAGTGGGCACTTGAGGAAACTGCAGTTCTTTTTGTTTTGGGTTCATTTTTTTAGTACCAGAGGTTGACGCTTGGTTTGTCACTAGTACTGTGTGTCTACATTTCAAATCATATCCAGCCATGCTCTCTAAAAACAGTGTCAGTTCACCACATCCGTACTGTAACTTAGCCAAGTAAAGAGAGATAAAATATCTGCAGTTTAACAGAGAAATACTAGAGAAAAATATGTTCAGAGATATAAAGGCTTAATAATACTAATTATACTGGTTGGAGGAGTGGGAATGGCCAGTTCAATGGTGAAACATCCTCATTATAAATCAATAGTTAGGTTAACACAAGCTATTAAAGTGAATATTACAAAATGAGCTTCTGACAACACTCGTATTTTAACATTTGTGCACATTTTCCGCCTTTCATTTTTGTAGACTGCGTTCAGTTAAAAGTGGGCGTTCATAAGTTCTAATCCAGATGTGTGAAAGAGTTGCAGTGTAGTTCACCCTCACATGATTTGAATAAACTTGATGGCCTCTCTCCTCGACACATCAGAGAGAAAAAAAAAAACAAAACAAACGAGATGGGACGGCTGGCTTGCAACGCAAATAATTCAGCGTGCTGAAGGAATAAGGGTGCTGCAGACGCCGGGGCCCGATATTGTTTTGACAAGTGGATTACTGTTGTAATAACATCAGACTGGTGCTGGTAATGCAGACTGCCAGCACACTCTGATCTCTGGCCTGAGCGAGAAGTCAGCGCAGAACACTATGTTCTGGAGCTTCTGTACTGGGAGGATACTGTGGTTCAGGATAGGCCTCCTCTCCTCCCTGCCTCTTTTTTCTTTTTTCCTCTTTTCTTATTTAATCTCTCCTCCTCCGGCTTCCTTCCTCTCTGTGACGTCCAGAGGAGAGGCTGTTAACTGCAGCTGCTTTACTTCTATTTAGCTTGAACTGTAAAAACATCCCCACCCCGTACTTCAGAACACAGCTTTGTGTCGGGCATCTGGTTTGTTTGGCTTTTTACAACAGCAGCATGTGAAGTATGTGATATTTATCCTGAAGGCTTAAAGAAGGGCCTGGTTGACTTGGTTTCCCAGAAGGCTGTTCTCCAAAAGAAAACCCCTCCCTCGGTCCCCTCCCTGTGGCTGCTGTGGTGAGCGCACAGGCCCGGGCTGGTAGTGGCTAAAGCTCCCGAATGAGACAGTTTAACAATGCAACGTCTTTCTAATGCTTCTTCTCTTATCACAGAGAGCGGTGACTCACACTGACGGGTTGGGAAACACATCTCAGTGGTCATGTTATTAATAAGACAGAAGACGAAGAAGAGGATTGTGTTTTTATTTAATGACTTTGCTGGAATCAAAGCACATCATAATTATTGTCATTTATCCGGTGGCCTGGTGCTCGGGTGATATATCGGATCACCTGGCTTCTCCCTTTTGCGTCACAATGAGGTTTTACACTTAAGACGCAACAAGAAGCGTCAATGAATTTACGTTGGATATTGAAATTTCCCACATTTCCGATGCCTTTTTAAAAGTGTGCCATCTTCAGGTCAAACTTCTGTTTGTCTTTAGGGCTGTATCAGACTCAGTTTCCTGCTTTGTTCTGTGTTTGACTTGTTTCAAAATGACCTGGTCTGCTTGTTGGTTTTTGTGAGGAGGAGATCTCTGTGGGTATAACGCTCTGTGACATACACTTATGATTAATAATAACACTTCTCCTCGTGTCCTGTGTCCTCGTGTCCTCGTGTCCTGTGACTGCTAAACAACATCACATAAGCACAGATTTTTAACATGAAATGGCATTATTTTCATGTAACCTTCCAGTCACTGTTAAACTAGCATGCATGTGAACATCATCAAAATATCTGATTTAAAATAAGCCAGTTTGACTCTTGAAGTTGGGTCCTTTTCCTTCTTCTTTGTGGTTGATGAAGTTACCAGACGCTCATTCTGGGCAGTTTTTTTTGGGTTCTTGATCTTCACTCTCAGCGCTTTGTCCCCTCAGTCCTACTCGTGTCACAGTATGTGACTCTTACTGTTATGAATGGCTTAAAGACTCTGAAGTCTGCTTTGAGAAATGTGTTGGGTTAGGCCCTCGTTCCCCCTGTGATGATAAATGTTGGACTGAATGGTGGTTGTGCATTAGCTTGAAGGGCAGTTCACTACAGTGTTTTGTTCCTGTTGCTTTGTTATTAAACTCTTTACCTCCTCCGTCGTCGTTTCTTTGCAGTTAGTGCCTCATAGTTCTGTTCTTCTCTGGTTCATGTAGGTTGTAAGGTTTTAGTCTTTAATGGAGTTTATTTTTTCTTTCTATGTGGTTTCAGCGAGTTGGCCTTCTTCCCCCTCTTACCCCACCCGTCCCCTGTGGCTGCTGTGGTGTGGGGCAGAGGCAGGTTTGGGTGGGTTCACGTTTCAGCTGAGGCTCCACACTCACCCACCCTGATGCAGAGGAATAAATCAGGCAGGATTACTGAGACTGGGATAGGTTGGTTCTTTTTTTAATGAACTGGGCTGGGCCATCCTTTTATGATTCTTACACCTCTTTTTTTTTTTTTCCCTGTATGAGAATTTATAATTTGTTTTTGTAGTTTAAAGAATGCAAGTAATACTGACAGATATTATCAGGCAGATATGAGCCCATCAGGATTAGGGATGGGGATCGTTAATTTGATTGATAATGATATCATCATAGAGCTGTGGTGTGCTTACCATACCTGCTTTGGGTGGAGGAGGATGGCCCTCCAGCAGCAGCAGCAGCAGCAGTAGCAGTAGCAGCTAGCTGAATTGTAGGTAATAATTTCCCAAAACTGTACAGAGCTGTGTGGAGGAGTTGACTGCCAGAATCGAGCCATTGTAGCTCAAACAGCTGAGTGTTCATTGTGCGATTGTGCTTACAGAGCTGCACATACACACAAGGAAACAATCTGAATTCACACACACACACACAGAAAGTGAGTGAGTGTCCAGCAGTGAGTCAGAGTGAGTCAGAGGTCAGACCATGTGCCAGGACCAGACAAGGTCAAGACTTCTGCTTAGAACACACACACAACAAAAGAGTCTCAGGCTGCAGACAGGGAGAGAGGGAGCCGAGAGGAAGGAGAGACAGACGGCGTGAGGGAGAAAACTGCAAGTGGGAGACAATGAAGAATACACAGAGAGAGAGAGAGAGAGAAAGATGGTGGGAGAGGGAGGAATGCAAGACCGTTTGAGAGAAAACAAGATGGCTTTTGGGAGAGAAAGGAGGAACAAAACCATGAAACAATGAACACAGACCATGGGGCAGACGTGACTGTAAGGCAGCAGTCACTGTGTGTCCCAGGAGTGACCTGATCTGGGAGGTCATCCCAGATCTGTGCTGATGCTTGTGTGTGTGTGTGTGTGTGGGGTGTTTCTGTCCTCAGTAACACGCAGTTATTCAGCACCTTTACAAAGCAGCCACTGTAAGCTGGGACAGAAAGACACAGTCACAACAATCAGCTCTTCTGTGATTTGAAGCTTCTTTTTTTTCTTTCTGAGCACCCACTCTCATATGAAACTGTACATGTGCCCACTATGTGACAGACTTAACTTGTGAGTTTGACCTGTGCTACCCCCTGCTGGTCAACACGAGGTATAACGCTCAGTCAGAGTTTCTCAGACAGTGAATCAGTGGGCTCGTCATGAAAACATCTGACACTTTTACAAAATGTGTTCTGAAGCTTTTCATCACAATATTTCTCACAGAAATGTGTAAATGTTAACATTTGAATCATCTGATCTTTCTTTTTACTTTAACCCTAAGCACTCTGCATTGTTTAATACTTTGATACTTTTCAATACCACATGTTTTAAAATGATACAGTTGTCCCAAAAATAACAAAAACTTAAAAAAACAAACTTTAAATCGTGGGTCAGTTTTTTGCCCCTAGCTGCTCTCAGCAGAAGAGAGACTGTAGTGTCTGAATTGCACACATACAGTGTCAACATATATTATTTGTGTGATGAAGACAGTGTTCAGGAGTATGTCCTCTTTTTGGTAACTAAAAGAAGAAATGACTGAATACTGGGTGCCTAGTACTTGTATTTTAGTTGCCATGGTATCAGAACAGGAGTCAGTATTATTTGATTTTTTTTTTTTTTACAGAGTTTACAGATCTGGTACAGTGACAGCCCTAGATTTGATCGACTCTTTCTGTTGCCAGACAAACCTAAAAGTTTATGTTTGTATGTAGACTTAGTATTGAAATCGTGTATCAAATATACAAACACAAGACCATGACGTGTTACATTATTACATTCATTTCTGATACTCGAACACTGACTGAATTTATTATCATGTGCTTTTGAAACACAGTGTCTACATTGGTGTTTTTAGTGATTATTGTCATCTCTTGGTGTTTCTCTAAATGCTTTATATCCCTTATTTACATCGTATTAAACCATGAGATTAAGCCAGTAACTGTATTAATCCAGTTGTGATCATGTCTTGTAGTTTGAATACATTTAAACAGGATCATGTAAAAAGAGATCTCTTGTGTACAGACTGCAGACGCCCACATTTTAAGCACGTACATACAAATATATAATGTAATAAATGAAGCTGCAGCTTGTTTATTTCAGGTCAATGGAAACCGGATTATTCAAACAACAATCTCCTTTTATAAAGAGGGAATAGATATCAGTCTTAATGTTGACTTTACACATGCACATCTGCAGTCAGTACAAATAACAGTCGGATAGATTTGTCACGTTTATTGCAGCAGTTCTGTTTCGCTCTTATGTCTGCTACTTAAATGTTGTACCTCCAGCTACACAGGTCCTATTGCATTAAGTGTTCAAGTTGTTGTTTTTTTTTTTTTTACTTTGCACCTTCATCTACTGTTTATGTCTGATGCTAACGCCCCCCTCTCTCCTTCTTCTTGTGTGTTTGTGCAGCTGAACTGGAGTTTGTTCAGATTGTCATCATCATCGTGGTGATGACAGTGATGGTGGTGGTGATCATCTGCCTGCTCAACCACTACAAGCTCTCCACCTGGTCCTTCATAACAAGGCAGAGCCAGGCCCGCAGGCACGACCATGCCCTGCAGCAGGTCAGTTCATATATATGTATATATCTGTGTGTGTGTGTGTGTGTGTGTGTGTGTGTGTGTGTGTGTGTGTGTGTGTGTGTGTGTGTGTGTGTGTGTGTGTGTGTGTGTGTGTGTGTGTGTGTGTGTGTGTGTGTGTGTGTGTGTGTGTGTGTGTGTGTGTGTGTGTGTGTGTGTGTGTGTGTGTGTGTGTGTGTGTGTGTGTGTGTGTGTGTGTGTGTGTGTGACAGAGAGTGAATGGGACATAAAAAAAGACACTGTTTGTTGATTAGTTGTATGACTGCTGCTGCTGTTCTTTGCAGCATCCATGATAACGAGTGAAAAACTGAGTGTCTGTCGGTCTGTTCTCTCTGAATGTCCCTGCACGCTCATTGTGACAGTACTTTTCTTTACTTCTGCAGCAGGACAAACATAGCTTACCAGTTTGTTCACAGTAAAGCCGCACTGAGCTAAATGAATCCTTTTATCCCAATCGCGGTCTCTGTCCCAGATTCTCTGAGGTAGCAGCTTTGCTCCAGTCTGTTAGGTGAACTTGCAGAATTGGTTTTCTTCGGAGCCAGACTCTGTCAGGCCTTGATGTTTAATTCACTACAGCGCTGTCTAGACAGCAGCGGCTCTGCCCCCATACTGACACGCCAACACTCTGGGACAAACACACACATACACACAACACACACTGATGCAATATGCTAATATGATCCACCATGCATTTTGATTCATAGACATAACCAGCCTCTGATACATATAAAAAGCTGTTCTCACTTTTTTTTAAAAACTAATTAAAGATTATTCAAATTCTGATAAAAACAGTTCACCTTGTCTTTTTCATCTTTCCTTTTAAGTGATGCACTGTACCTTCTGATCAAAACCAAAAAAAAAAAGGCAGAAAGAAGCAGACACATGAAGAAGTGTCATAAATGCCACGTCAGAAAGCACAAAGGCAACAAAGCCTCGTAGGTGGTCGAGGGCATTTTGGAACAAAAGCCACTGGCCTCTTTCTTCCTTTCACACTAAGTGTTGTTGACGGTTCAATCTGTGGAAAGATCCTCAAGTCAAATGTAGAAGAAGGGAAACTGCGGTGATTTGATAGGTGTGTGTCTTTGTTGTGCCTTTTCATCTCGATGGAGCGTCTGCTTTTTGTTGTCCTTGCTCCCAAACACATCATGATGTTTTCAGTTTAAAGCCATCAGGCATTTTCTCAACACCGTGTTTAGTCTTTTGTATCTTCATTAAGTTCTTAGATGGGTTTTTTTTTTTCTTTTCTCTTTCATCCTTTTTATCCGTGTAGTTGACTTGGGAGCCTCGTGGTCTCCTATCGAAAAGGATTTCAGACACAACAAACAACAAAGCAGTAATAATTGTTTTTGAAAAGTGAATCTTTATCAGTAACAGTTCTGGAAGATTAGCTGTAATCATTAGGAGCAGGAATTATCTTTCAGCCTCCGGGGGAATCTCAGCCTCATTCTTTCTTGTTCTTGTTTTCTCTTGTGTGATGTGTAGGACGGGTGTCTGTGGCCTTCAGACAGCGGCTCTCGACAAGGTGCCTCAGAGGTAAGACGGCCGCCACACTTGACACTCATCAAACCTAACCCTTGTTCACTGTGAGAGTGGGCAGACCAAGGAGGGCCCACGGCCACACTTGATACAACCATGATCACTCAGAGGAAGCGGAACTGTTCCTTTAAAAAATGCTTTTAGAAAGATTCAACTGTTTTCAGAAACACGGCAGCGTTATGTATAAAAATCAGACTTTTCAGACCGCAGGAACTCCTTCATAGTTTCTAGGAATTGTTGAAACCCTCCTTCCTTTTTTCACTGAATCCACACCGCAGGAACTATGAAATATTTGAGTTCCCAGAACCACATCCTTTTTAGCCCCTGTGTCAGAGTTAGTGCCATGGCAGTGTGAATGCAGACAGAAAAAAAAATCCCCATGGTGTGTCCTTCTCAGGGAACTCCCTAGTGGATAGTTCCTCTTCAGAAAGTCCCCAGAATTTGGTCTGAAAACATTTATCCTGGATCAACTTTCCGTATTGACCTCCCAGTACAACTTTGCTACCAGCTAATCACAGCCCTCTGACATCATCAGCGTGCTCCTCCCCCTCCTCTTCCTTCAAATATGATTTGTGTTACGTTAAGACTTCAATATTTAGTTTGAATAATTTAACATGAAATCCTTAATGCAGGTCTGTAAGTCATTCATATTTAAATATTGACTACCTACCTACCTCACATAGCTATGTGATCTACTGCATGGTTGTCATGCATACTTACTTTAAAGAAAGGTTATGTTGATGTGTAAGCTTACTGTAAGTTTTACTATGTCATTTATCTAATTTAAGAAAAAAATCATCTTAAAATCAACAATGATAATAATAATAATAATAATAATAGCTTTATTTATATAGCACCTTTAAAAACAAATGTTTACAAAGTGCTGTGACAGACAGAGCAAATACAGCAACACGACAACAGAACAGAGATCAACAGAGAGGGCAAAACTGTGAAAATGCAAATAAGAGGAATGATATAGATTCAACAGGCAGGTATAGAATAGAATAGAATTACTTTATTGATCTCAAACTGGGAAATTGTGGCCAAATGTATGGAGAGGCAGTTCAGTACAATGAAGGAAAATTAGTTTAAAATCAACCAGGAGAGAATTAAAATTAAAATTGAGGGAGAGTGGGACGACATCATGTTGATATACGCCAATTAATGAAGCCAGTTTTCAGCCAACTTGTTGTCAGTAAGTCACTTTGTTTCAGCACTACTTAAGAATGAATATACAGTAGATGACTTTTCAAGTCTTCTGACCACTCAAACCCCATTTTACACCACATTCACACCCTGATGGCAGAGGCTGCTGTGTAAAGTGTCCATCAGTATTAACTCATCCATTCATACACATTCACACCCTGATGACAGAGGCTGCTGTGTAAAGTGTCCATCAGTATTAACTCATCCATTCATACGCATTCACACACCGCTGACGCAGCAGCGGGAGCGTCTTCTGTGTGATACTTCTGGCAAGTATCACATTTAAAGAGCCATGCTGACATGGATCTCCTGTGGGTAATCCAGTCTCTTTAAGAACTATCCCTTTAAGACTGTGTTGTGCTACATTGGAGGAAAATAATGTATTACTGCCCAGGTGCTGTAAAGTAAGGGGTTAAACAAAAATCAAACTTGAAAGTGTGGTAAAACGTCGTACTTGATAACCTGCGACATGTGGCACTTGAAACAGTGTTTGACACGAGGAGGCCGTGTGCAGAGAAGGTGTCGGCTTTAAAGATGTTAACCGTAATGAATAAAAGAAGAAAAGACAGAAGACCTGAACCCACTCATTGATGTCTTTTGTCTAAACCACTTTCTGTTTTACAAAAGAACCGTGTCTCTTCTCCGCTCTTTGTTTCTTAGTGGGCTCGTTCTCACAGTCCTCCGCTCTAATATAATCCATCCGTGGTTACAGGAATACTGTCACGGCAGAAAGATCCTGACATTTGCATTTCGGCTGCTTGTAAATATTTGATCATTCAGGAATTGAAGCTTGTCTCGTCGTGTACGGCTGGCACTATTCACCAAACGAAATCAAATTTGGCGTGTTCTGAAAGCCTTGTGAATACAGAAAGCGTAAACAAATGCCAGTATACTCACTGTGACTGGTGATCTGTTTGCTCAACGGCATCCAAGCCAGATGGAGGAGCTTAAGAGGTACGCTGGGGGAAAACCAGAAGCATTGGGAGTTCAAAGAGCACTCAAAAAAACAACCAGCCTAACACGATAGTACTGATAAACGTGCAGACAATAGTGTTTGGAGGCTGCGTTCGTGGATTAGTCAGCAAGTTTGCGCTCACTTTGGCAATCAAGGCCAACTTCATGTAGGCAAAAGGGCAAGTTTGCACCAAACAAACAGACTGAATTTGCTTTCATTTGGAAACCTCCTGCCGGCTAAAAGACTTAAAGACCATAAATGAAACTTGAGGGGAAGAAAAAAAGAGAAACAGACATGAAGGACAGAGAGAGAAAAAAGTCGAAAGGAAGGTGATGGGAGTGAGAGAAGAAGAGGTTCAGGGCGATGAAGGCAGGTGAAACTCATGTCGTCGTTAAAACACCCAGAGAGACTTGGAAAAAAGGAAAAGGCCACAGAGAGACAAACACAAAGGGAGACGCAACCAATGAATGTGGGTGGCTGATAGATGCGGAGAAGGGGGCTGTGTGTGTGTTTGTTTGTGTGTGTGTGTGTGTGTGTGTGTGTGTGTGTGTGTGTGTGTGGCAGGGGGTGGGGGGGGTGGATGGTTTTTGGTGCGTCATTAATCAGCAACACCTCCCCTGACACTGTCTAGACAGCCGTCTGAGAGCTGCCCTGCTCCACTGCGCTCTGCTCCCTCTATCAGCGATGCACCTTTCTCCCCCCCCCCCTCCCTCCCTCCCTCCCTCCTCTGTCTGTCTGTCTATCTGTCTATCTGTCTGGCTCTTTACTTTTCCTTTTCCGCTCTTTTCTCTCCTTCTTTATCTTTCCAGCTCCTTTGCTCTCCTTCCTCCTTTTTATCCTCATGGCTCTTTTCTTCCTCTCGCCTTTCTGTGCTCTCTTATCGCACTAGCCTTTATTTTTTAATCCTTTTGGTTCCACTCTTTCTCTCTCTGTCTCTCCATTTCATTTGCCCTGATCCTCTATCCCTCAGGTTTTTTTTTTCTCTCCCCCTTCCAGTCTGTTGTTCTCTTCATCCAGACTGCCTTGTCAGTGGGGGTTGACTATTAGAGCCACAGTCACTAATTGAAATGGGCTCCCTCTGATAATGACTCTCCACAGTAGAAATGTGTTGAATTGGACAGAAATGAAGAAATGGATCAGGCAGACGCAGCGTGCAGAGCTAATTGAGGTGAAGATTTCTGACAAAAGCCTGAGAAGGAAGCGATGTGTTCATTGTTGCTGTGTTGATGAAGAAACTTTGCATCCTTTCTCCCCCCCACTCTGTAATCACACTATTATATCTTTAAAAACGAATCGGTGACACACCGCAGGTGCTGTTGCTGCAACAAGAGCATCAGTCTGGAATGAAGTCTTACACCGAACCAAGATAATACCTCAAATATTACAAATTCTTTGCACACACAGTTCTAAATGTCAGGGGGGCTGATTTAGAGCTACAGTCTGATAGCCTTGGAGATAATGCATAGACTGTGGTACTCCCAGGTGATATGCTGTATTGCTGATTCTAGTGTCAATGTCAGAACAATTGAAGTTAGTCTCCATTGACTGGAGCTCATTGATAACATGCACTGAACATTTGGAGGCTTCAACTTTTCTTTTTGCTATACAAATTGATTTTCAAAAACAATAAACGTAACTATATATATATATATGTGTTTTACAATGAGACATAATTATCTGCCAAGATCATCAGTTCAATTCCTATGCACTTGCACATCTGCCCTATTGTGTTGATATGAGTCAAAATAAGGGTTGCACTGGATCACAAATGTCATGGTTTGGATTGGATCACAGATTTGTGATCTTTCTTGATATTGACCAAAAGAAAAATGATAACTTCAAATGAACAGCTCCTGCTGCTTCGTCTGCGGCGTATGAATGGGATTAGTTACTTTTGATGGTCTCACTACATATCAGCCTCGACCATCAGTGTGTGACATGCGGTGTAAAAGCGCTTTAAATAGTCAGAAGACTTGATAAATGCTGCACAAGCTCAAGTCCATTTACCATTTAAAATACATCTCATGAATGTGTCACATCTTCATCTTTCTTCACTAAATACACAATGGTAAAGTTCTAATAATGATGAAGCAAGCAGATAAAATGGAACCCTCTCTTTTGTTTAGTGGCTTCTAAGAAACAACAGTCTGGTGTATAGAAAGCTGCATCATTTCATCACCAGTACTCTGAAACAAGGACATCAGCTTAACAAACACAAAACAGAAATAACAAACTGGCTGTAATCAACAACGGCAAAGAGTTTTTCTCGTACAACATTATCTACTTTGGCAGTGTTGAACACGTCTCACACACACACACACACACACACACACACACACATCATTCATTGAGTGGATGTCTGTGTGTAACTGGCTGCTCCAGCAGCGCATGATGTGTGACTCGAAAAAACGATAAACAGGGAGTGTTCATTGGGTGACTTTATCTTCAGTTTTTGGGCCAAACACAACCCAATATAACAGACATTCAGCTACAGACGAGTGCAGGCTAGGGGGAATTGTGACGCTGGTTGTTTTCACACCCAACCATCTGCTGATGCATGATACACGCAGACAGAGTGAGAGGACAAAAGTCAAATCACCGTTTGATACAAAGAAGTAATGCACACTGAAATATCAAGAACTTTTCGTGTGAAAGTCTGCAAAACATGTGTGTATATTAAAAAATAAGACTGAAAGCAGAACTCCTCCTACACCACTCCTCTGCTTTCTTTCACTGACACGCTGCACTGAGTTTTATTTGCATTACATTTATAATGATACACATCATAAAATCTGATCTGAACAGATTAAGATGAACTGATTAAGATGTGTTGCACCACTTGTTTGTCACATGACCTGTTGATGCTATTTAACTGTTTCAGCTGTACTGACATTCGTTCTCTTCTTGTCTTCTTGTCCTCTTCCCTCCCTCACTACCTTGTGTTCCTTCCTCTCTGTCTTCCTCTCTGTAGGTGTTATACGCTCCCCAGGCCAGGGATCGCTTCACCGCTCCCTCCTTTATGCAGCGCGACCGTTTCAGCCGCTTCCAGCCAACCTACCCTTACCTGCAGCACCAGATCGACCTGCCGCCCACAATCTCGCTGTCGGATGGCGAGGAGCCCCCGCCGTACCAGGGTCCCTGCACCCTGCAACTCCGCGACCCCGAGCAGCAGATGGAACTCAACCGCGAGTCGGTGAGGGCGCCACCAAACCGGACCATCTATGACAGTGACTTGATCGACATGGGAGGAGGCGGTACCCTGGGAGGGGTGGGTGGTGGAGGGGGAGGACTGGGAGGAGGCGGTCCGAGGCCGCCCAGCAGTAACTCGGGCATCAGTGCGACCAACTCCAGCAGCCATGGGCGCATGGAGGGCCCCCCGCCAGCGTACAGCGAGGTGATGGGTCACTACCCCGGCTCAGCATTCTTTTTACACCAGCACAGCAATAACCAGAGGGTGGGGGGGCCGGGGAGCAGGACGATCCAGCAGAAGAGCCAATCAGAAAGCACAATAGTACCTGCCAAGGCCAAGGACGGCCAACCGGAGGACCTGGTGTGAAGAGAGGGGTAGGGGGCAAGTGGGGGGAAACCCACCCCGGACTAGAAACTGTCTCTCCTCTTCACCCCTGTAAGCAGTGGTCTCTCTATCGCTCTCTCTCTCTCTCTCTGTCTCTCTCATGTCCTTTTTCCACACTCCCATGCACAAATAAATATCAACCTTAGCTACAACAAAACAAGGGAAGAGAACCAACCGTTGATTTCATTTCAGTTTCTTTCCGATGTTAGTAACTCAAAGCGCTAGCACCACTGGGGCAGGATGTATGCACTGCTCTGAGAGGTTTGTTTTTTTTTTCCTTACATGAAAATGAAACATTCTGCTAGCACAGATTGAAACAATTTGGGGGTCTTTTTTTTTGTCCCCCTCGTCGACGGCTTTGTCTCTTGGAACTTTAAAATATTTTTTATTTTTGTTCTTTTTTTTTTTTTTTTTTTTGGACCGGGATCTGTGCACAAAGCGAGAAGTGAGAATGGACTTACAGAGAACACAACAAAAAAGAGACTCACAAAAACCCAAATCTTAGTGCCAAGGTTCACGAGGAAGCAAAGCAGGGGTGGGGTGGGGGTATGACTCATTCTAACATTCAAAACACGAAAAAAAGAAAAGTTATCTAAAAGTTGCACTATCTTTTTGTTGTAAAAGAGAAGAGGGAAATGATGCTATGTTATAATGATGATGTTTTTTTTTTGTTTTTGTCCTTTACATGAATGAACTGACTGACTGAACTTGGGCTCCAAAGTTGTTTAAACAGTTGGGAGCAAAAAAGAAAAACAACAACAAGTATTATAAGCTTATGTCCTTCCTGTTTTTGAAATACTGCAAGAAATACTCGTACCCAGCCTACAACACCTCTGTCTGCTTACACCACAGGCACAGTGAGACTCAGTAGGAGTCTTGTACTGCTCACGTCTGTGCACACTTCAGCCTAGTGGGAAAGAAATCTGACTAGTGACCAGCCGCTGGGTGGACCAAACATTTCTCACCTCCTCTTGTATCATGTAACGAGTCGTTTCTGAACTCCTAGAAAGATGAGAGCTGCTTGGCAAGATCCAACACGCTCCATACTTCATTCTGGGGTAATCTTGAACCTGGAAGATCATAACTTCATAACAAAAAAAAAAGAAGAAAAAAAACATATCTAACAGTCTACCCAGCAGCCTGGTTAAAGCTGATTCTTCATTTTTCCACTCTGTCCCAACCTCTGAGCACCTGACACTTCCTCTTTCCTGTTTCCTGCATCCATGACCCCTCCTCCCCCCCTTCCCCTCCTCTCACTCCTCATCTCGACATGCACAGTGCATTCTGCCAACAGCCACACTGAACACAAACCCCGCCGCCATGACAACGAAAAAACACAAAACAAAAAGAAGGCTCGGTCTTCACGTCTCTAAAGCCACAAAAGAAAAAACAAACAAACAAGAAGACACAAAGTGAAGATTCCTGTCTGCATCCGCCAGCACAGCGATCAGGTTTTAAACCAGAACTGTCTGTGGTCTAAGTCAAAGGGCTATGGGAGGGTCCTTTTTTGTAAAAGAAAACCTTTTTTTGAAGAAAAAAAAAAATCGAGCCTTTTTCTCTGCTCATCGTTGCCTTCTCCTCTGCTCTTGCGCTTTCTCTGTCTCTCTATCTCGTTTGTGTTCAACGCCAGTGCTCCAAACCCCGAATCCACACACAACCCCCCGACCCACCCCACCCTCCTAGCTTTTAAAACAGTGTCTCTGGCAAACACTGATCATCACCAATCCCTCCATCCCTGTGCAGAAAAAGTGCGTTCAAATGATGCAGAGTCAAGCCAAGCCCTTTAAAGTGGAGACTGGAGTGGAGCCCTCGTTTGGCAGTGTGCAAGTGCAGTCCTCTCTTCCCCCTGTGTGCCTGCGTGTGTGCGTGCTTGTGTGTATATATATATCTGTGTGTGTGTGTTTGTTAGACCTTTAACTACACAAAAAAGCACTTAATGCTCCAGCAGGAGCATTGTGTGTGAGTCTGTGTTTATCTGAGTGATTTACTTGCTGACTGCTTTGTCTGAGTTTAAAAGATTCAAAGACATATTACTTATTTGGCACTGTCCATATTTACCCAGCATTAATGATGCGTTCATTAAAATCAGAGGAGGATGTTGCAGAAGTGACCTCAATGTAAAAGCTCAAAGTGTATGTCACAGTCAAACACACAGGTTATTGCAAAGCTGCACAAAGATCACTCCGCCTGTCTGGAGGTTGAAATGGAGCTGTAGGTGTACCTGAGGGGGTTTGGCAGTGTTTAAAACACAGACACCTGGCTATTTATTCACCTTTTTGTGTGTTCAGCTCCACCGCAAACTTCTACATCAGCCTTCACAAATTCTCATGTTTAACCTTCAAGAGCATCTTTATCAGAGTTTCCTTTAAGTGCCAGCTGTTTGCTGGACATTAAACATTTTCAGCTCACCGCTTCCTAAGGTGTTTCAAGTTACATTAGCATAGCTTTTAACTTTATCAAAGGATTGAGCCAGCTTGAGAGCTTAGTGAGCCGTAGCTTGGCTCACAGCCCCTGAAACCCAAGTGATGGGAATCACAAGTGTTTAACTAGAAACTGCCTTACTAAGTGATGTTGGTGTTTTAATTACCAGGTTTTTGTTTATTTATTTATTTTTTTGGAGAGGAGATCTCTGTGGATAAGTTGGCGCCTGGTGAAAAGCTCATGAATGACAACCTTTCAAGGGTATTTCTTTCGATGTTGCAGCTAAAAGACGAGTTGCAGAAAAACGACTGACAAAATGCAACTTGATTCAATGTCTTTTCCACTGATGAGAGAAGAGCAATCTTCCCCAGTTTCATACTTCATATTAACCCTCAGAAGACCAAAAACACTTCTGAGTTCAGTCAAGTTAGAAAATAAAAAAAAGTTGGAAATGATGGAGCGTGTACGTCAGAGCATGGCTCACTTGTGTTTTAATAGTTTATGACGTCAAAGGATTCAGACACATTAGACGTTGGACACACGCTTTTCTTTTTAGTACATACATCACTGCTGTGGTCTGTTTTATGCAGTTTGGTGTCACGGAGAAAATGACGGACAGAAAAAGCATCTTTTAATCAGCTTCAACGTCATTCCAACGCCACAGCTTGATTAAAACCTATTAGCTCTCATATTCTGTCACTTTCTGTTAGTTTAAAAACTAAGAAAGGTACATTGATTTCTTGCAGCAACATCAAAGAAAAACAGTATTCCATGACAATAAGTTAAAAAAAATCACACTATATTATTGTATATTTTCTGGAGTAGGGACAAAAACAGCCTTTTGATGCTCAAACATCAATTTCATTAATTGGTTTTAATGCAGCATCATCATCATTTAAAAAACATGGTGTGATACTTCTGCAGCAGAGAGGAGTTCTGCTCAACCCAATTCCAGTTGAAAACTTCACACAGGGAACGTGGAAATGAGTGAACAGCCCCCTTTACATGTGCAGCTCACATCGATCTGACTTTAAACCAATCAGAAGCCAGGTTGGTGGAGAAAAAAAAAACTAGTTTGAAAAGAAAGCCTTCTGATCCCATTAGTTTCAGTGTGTTTGAATGTATGCATGCTTCCCCAGTTGTGTGTTTATATGACTCTACAGTGGTGTGTATGAAAGTGTGTGTGTGTAACTACATCGCTGCTGCTATTGCTGTTGCTGCTACTGCTACTATTGTTGCTACTGCTGCTTCTCATGCGCCCCCACCCCACTCACCCCCCACCACTCCTCTGTCCTTCTGTCCCCTTTACTCATCCAAAACTCCAAGGAGAGAAATCTTACCCTCTGCAGTCAAAAGCTCAAGTATTACACAGAAGCCTGAGTGAGTCAGTGAGGAGATAGCCCCGACTCTTCTGCCTTTGACTGCACGGACCTGCTTCATACCTGCGTTTCTTTTCCTTTTTTCCCCCCCCACCCCTCCTCCTTCTTTCCTTTCCTTTCCTTTCCTTTCTTTTCTCGCCTTGTTCTCTCTGCGCAGTCATAGCTTGTAAATTGATTACATAAAGAAGAATTTTATGTTTTCTACAAGGAGGTTTGCATGTTACTATTATGTGAGTAAATAAGGTGCCTAATGTTCATGTTTGAGCAGACCACACCTCAGTCAAACTACTGCTTGGAATTCTTGCAGGTGCTCTAATCGGACCTGACCACCTGTCTGGGTTGAGTGGATCAGAGTTAGTAAGAAAAAAAAAAAATGTTAGCTACATTTGCCAAAAATGATCTTCTCTATCTTTTTGGAAAGCTGTGGACAGATGTCATAGTTGTGGCCCTCTGGAGTCTAGTCTTGAGCTCCTTGTATGGTTACAGACTGAATCTGATCTGGCAGTGAAGTGGACAAAAGCAAAATTCTGTATCCACCTTGAAACTAAACGTTTAGTGACCACAGCTGTGTAGCAAAACTCCAGCTGCCTGTACGAACTGCAGTTCAACTTCGACCACTTTTAGCTCCGGTTAGACCCGTGCAAAGGCAGCCTGTAGCCTGCCATGACAGACAGAAGTGGTCATTCCTGTCGGAGCCTCTGAAGCCATTCCAACCAGTAATTTGACCAGCGTGTGGAGCAGACATAGGAACCCACTTGCACTCAAAAAGCTCCCACCTTCGTTGTGCCTCACTTCCAACGGTGCTTTTTTCAGTAGTCTGTCTTTCTTTATGTTTGTTTGTAAGGTGCTGTATATAACTTGAATATATTATGCACATATCCTACCCAATGGGTAGAAACCACAAAAAATGTTGTGAATAATGTAATATAATGTATAGACAATATAAGAATTTTAAGAAGGCAGCATCAAATTTGTAAATGCCTACAGTTAAAACGTGCTTTGTCTTTTTTTTCTATCAGAAACATGGTTTGCAAAGTATGCTTAGAATATGGTTGCAACACAAATACAAATTACTACTTATAATATTTTGCTATGAATAATAGTCTGTTATGATACTGATGAGATAACCTGTGGATTAAGGAAGTTGTTGAGTTTTTGACTTGTTTATTGGATCATCGAAAAACAAGCTTTCACAATGCTTGCCATTATTTGGGTACTGGCGGATGTTTTTTGTTGTTTTTTTTTTTCCCACCTCAGTCGACTGAAAAATGTAAAGTTCTGTAACACAGATCTTGAAAGAAAACACACACACACACACACACATCAGTTTGTGTTAATGCCACGACTACAGCCAGCCTCGGCTGCATCTCAACTCACTCTGTAAATTGTTGAACAAAAAGTCAGAGCTGTTTAGTTTGGAAGAGGCGTCACCTTGCAATCGCACACAGGAGCTGTGAGCACTTCCAAACAAGGAAGAATCTGTGTCTCTTAAATATTAACAACATTTTAGTTCAGTTCAGCTGTAATGTCGTATATCTGCCAAAGTATAAATCTGTGGAGCACCGCTATAGATCTGTCTGGACGTTTGGTTGAAGCATTTGAGCCTCGTTACAGGAGGATCACCGACTTCTGATCATATTCATGTTGAACAGGAAGAGTGTTAAAACATTCAAGGAAAAAAAATGGTCATTCCCTTTTTTTTTTGTTGTCTATGATTGGAAAGTTGCACCAGCGTGAAAGGAGTGGGAATATGCCGTTTAAACTGTCATTTAACTTTTCTCTCTTTGTTATTATTATTTTTATTCTTTTCTACATTACAATGTTATATGTGGCACAGTATATTGAAACAAGTCATGTTTAATCTGCAGTCATTTATTTACAGTATGTACTGAGAATAACTCCACTGTACAATAACCGCAGAGCATGTTCATTCTTATCTATAGACGATGTACATAGCAACGCGCCATTTTCTCTTCAAAGCACCAAATAAGTGGCAGTTGTGTAGTTTTGATTTGGGAAAGTCTCTATTTTAACTTTGGCTAGAGCGCCGCCTGGCTCTCCTTCTTAATAGACTTTCTTTCTCTTTTTTTTTTCATTTCCTGCACTAGCTTGAAGAACTAACTTGGGCTCAGACTGATTTTTATTTGATTTCTGCCCCTGCAGCGCGCTCTCTCTTTCCACTTATCAGAAGTCTGTACTCAACTGCTGACAACAAGTAGCTGTTTTTATTGTTCCAGATTTTAATAATAATAATGATGATGATAATAACAATGATAACGTCTCAACAGTTTGGTATTCTCTCTGTCTTGACAGTTACCATAGGACTGCTTCCATCATGGGTTTTGTAACATCGATTTGCTTTATTTACAAAATGACTCCTTCTCGTTCCCTCTCCCCCCTCTGTGCTGAAATCTAGATATATATGTGACTGTATTTAGTAAGCATACAGTACATATATATCCAAACACAGAGGTAAAATTGTTGTGTATTTTTGCCTCTTTTTATTTAAGCAATTGTGATGTAATAGGTTTTAGGCCTAAGGTCTGTTATTGCAATACTTTTACAGAAAATAAGAAAAAAAATCAAAAAATGTTGCTCTAAGTGCTGTTGTAGTCAAAGATTTTATGCTTGTACTTATGCTGTAGTCAAACTGCAGCGTAATGAATAAAACTTTAAAAGTGATTACTCTGGCGTTCCCTCTGTATTTTCTCCTCAGTGTTATATGGATAATGAGGTCTGTAATGTGATTACTGGAGTCGGTCCGGGCCGCGGTGCCACTCAGCTTTTTTATCTGTCCTCAATGATGCAGCCAAAGATCCTGAGCAGGATTTAAGAGAAGGATCAGCAACTTCTCAGACTTGTTAACCTGGTTTCTGTGTTGCCTGGTGATGCAGGTTGGGGCCTGACGCACCAGCATGCAGTCTGAGTGCAGAACAGACCGCAATCTGTTCAGTAAAACACATTTTAATACCGTTAAACCTGCCATGGTTTACAATCGAGTTGAATTAAACACCTTGATGACACAAGATTCTCAGTTTGCAAAGACGACACATTACAAACCGCGCCAATGGAAATCAACTGTAAACACTTTTAAGTCTGTTAAGTGTGTGTGAGTGTGCACTTATTTTCATGACAAATGGGGTACATCTTACCATACACCTGCAATATGAGGACTCGGAAAAATCTGGACATTTTTCAGAGCTTACTACGGTGTTGTAGAGCATTCCATAATACCCCTAAAACAAAAAGAAGTTAAAAGATATATATTTGCTCTCAGTATTGAGATCCATGGACTAAGTCTCTAAATTAATGTTTATCTGATTGGAAAGAGCGTTTGGAGAACCAACAGTAAAAAAAAGATCTTTAGTACCAGGACTGATGAAAGGGTGCTGCTGAAATAGAGATGTGTCCAATAAAGTACATTATCTTCTCTATGTTCATCTACAAAATGCTATTTTGGTTTCAGAATGTTGAAAAGACTCAGATCCTGCTGCAAGCCTCCTGAAGGTGCCAGGCCGTGGTGGATCCATATAATACAGATAAACAAAATGACTGTCAGTGTGCTGACTCCTTTCTGAACCATCTAAGATATATCTGCCATACCAGTGCAAATGTTTAGCTCCTTTACTAGAGGGTTATTTTATGCTCAATACTCTGATAACGGTGCTCCAGATAGCCAAAGTGCCCCATGTACAGATGCTTTAGTCATTGAAGCTGGATTCTAACTCTCAGCACTTGCATGTTATTCCCCACTCTCTTATCCCAACTTCCAACCAGATCCAGGTTCCTCTCTCAAATAAAGGTATAAAATATATTTGAAATACTCTGATATGACTTTTGAAAAAAGACAGCGTGAAAAATTATTTGATGACTCATGGTTGTAAAATTACAAAAAGTAAAACATTTTTAAAACATTAAAATAAACCTTACTGAGCCACTGCGGAGCATGAAACTAATGTTAACATCACACAGACCCCATATGGTTTACAAGCTAATGTTAAGCAGCTGTTGACTATGTGTTAACTACTTCAGGTAAGTCCCTAAGGCTTTCTTTGCTCAGCAATCGATGCAAAGTACAGAGTTAGAGTTACCGAGGTAGAAGGGAATGTGGTTTTAAGCATTTGGTCATAAACAAACATAAAACATGCATTGATATTGATGAATTTCGTTAGTGATGTGTCAATATCTAATATAGACACCGGGTGAAAATTCAGAGATTCACATTTTCCATCTGGAGGGGGACAAGAAGGTCGGAACAAAATTGAATAAAAGTCCATCTTAAAGTTGTGGAGATATCTCAAAACAGCAGATAAAGTTATCTGGGCTTTTTATCAGATTCATTGGATAGAACATAGAGATCAAGAAAATGTATTTTTTTCTATCGAATTAGTGTTGTAGTACTCAAAATCGGTCTTGAGTCCACTTTTTGAAGGTCTCGTCTCGGAATGGAAAGCATTTTTACTCGATCTTGCCTCGATCTTAGACTGGGCAGACTCCGGATTTTAAATCAAGTTCGGTCAGCCGCACCCTTCCCAGTGTTACGGTCTAAGTGAGTGAAACGCCCCCTATACACAAGATGATGGTTTTTCATTGATATTTATGGTCTTGGTCTTGACTCGGTCTCGATCCCTAGATGTCTTGGTCTTGTCTCAGTCTTGGAGCACACTGGTCTCGGGTATGTCTTGGTCTCTGTTAGTGTGGTCTTGACTACAACACTATTCAAAATGACTTCAAAACGTTTACATTAACTTGGGTTTGAGAGTTTCTGCTAGCACCTCCTTCAGTTTGAACTGTATGTTAACGATGAAGAAATGACCCCCGATGTCTCAACTCATTTAATCCTAGAGTAATCATTTTCTTTGTATACTTTGCAAATATTATCATTTCAGACAATAAACAGGCTATGGTTTAAATGAGTGATAAATCCCTAACACTTCTGTCAACCAGGATAAAGTTATAGGTGAATGTGTATCCACCCTTTGTCTAAAATATGCTCCAAAAAAAATAGTCCTGGCCCATGTTAAGACCGGATGACATCACCCCAAGATTTTTAAAAGACCTCAGCAGCTACCCCGATGTTATGAAACTGTTTTCAAATGAGCAGGTTTTTAAGTGGAAATCTGTGTCATGAATCAAATTTGTTGGCTGCTGAGAAGTAAAAGGGGACTTAACTTTCCTCTCAGGCGGCCAGAAAGTAGGAAATTATCACTTCCGCAGCCAACAGATGTACAGAGGTTGACAATGTGTACTAAGATGACTCAGCACAAACACTGCGGTACTTCCCCTCTTTCTTTTGTGGAGGAAGTACAGTCTCTGCTGAGTTTCACATTAAGTTTTTAACTTCCATTACCTCAATCCGCTCAATTCTCCCATCGTAGAAACAGCACAGTAAAAGGTCAAATCCAGGTCACCTTCAGATCCTCCCTCTTCCTCCTGAACCAGAATGACTCACTCAGCCCTGTAAAGTAATGAACTGCATAAAACATAAGTTACTGTATATTTCAGCAGACAAAATAACGGTTTATTTATAGGCAGAGTTTGGCAACTTGTCATAACATTCACAGGGGTGAAACAAAGCTAATGTTCAAAGCACTTACAGTAGCATCACTTACAAGTAAAGGGGGGAGGGTTGGCCCCGGGGCCCCGCCTCCCGTCCTTTCTGTGAACCTCCTGCTGCAAAAAGTCCCGATAATGTTCACATCCTCCTGACTCACTTTCTTCAGACTACACACACACACACACACACACTGGAGCTGGCAGACTGTTGAAAGCCATGCAGAGGCAGTCATGCATACATCTGCTGCAGTTTGCTCAACGATGACATGATGTAGCTGTAGTCTGAACCTCTCAGTATTCCCTTTAAATTTTACAGGCTCTAGACTCTAGACTCAGACAGGAAACACAAGATGAAGCTGCTTTCCAGTACTCATGATTTTACCTTTTAATCAGTAAGCAATACCTAAATGTTCACTCCTTTTGAAAATAAACGTGGCCTCTTTTATATCAGACACAAAAGATATAAATTACTGTGGCTTTCTTCAGACAGTCTGACATGCTGTGCCCCCTTAACTGACCCCTTAGTGAAACCTTCTTAACCTTTTGGATTATTTTTAGACTTTTCACTTGACACTTCTGAAAAGAGAGGAAGAAATGCCACCAGAACATCCTTAGTCACCTTTTATCTTTCCACTGGCAGGTTATTCATATCCTTGTGGATAACTGAGCATCACATCACCTCACCCCGACTGCGCATGCAATTTAAGAAATGTAGGGGTGAAGATCATGGCTGCTTTCACACATGCCGCTCACCCTGGATAATTTGCAGGAGTTTGAGCATGGGTGAAAATGCCAGAAGTCTCTTTTTGGTGGACACATGGCAACATGTATATTTTATTTCCAACCTTGTGTCCAATAACAGTACAGAGGCCCCAGCTCCTTTTCAACACTTAAACCAGTCTTTTAAACCCCTCTAATTCTCCTTTTGCTGTGCCATCACCCACCCTATGAGAATTGTTAAAATCTCAGCCGTTATTGTGCCATAAATTTGAGTAATACCTCTCTTACTTCAGGCTATGTTCCACCTACTTTTTATCATGCAGTAGTGGAGCCTCTTAAAGAACCTAATCTTGACCCTGCTGTTCTTTCAAACTTTGGGCCTATTTCCGAGCGTCTTTTTCTGTCTGATTTAAAACCACTTTCTCTTAAACTTTAACTGCAATGATACCTTGATTTTAATTGCATTCCTGAAAAGCTTCGCTCTGGTTTTAAATCATGTCACAGCACAGTGTAATGGAAAAATTCTGTTTACTGTCAAGGACACATTTTACTTACAGCTCGCTTGAGAAATGCTACGATAAGTTAATACGTAATATTCTTGTTTTGTCTTTACCCGAGGATGAAGGTTTCTCACAAATAGCTAAATATCAAAGATACTCTTGAAGTTTGAAGTACTGTTGTGCGACGTGTTGAAATGTATGACAAAATGTATTTGATATTTGACTGCGCCTGTATTCGTTGATTCTGGAAACTCTGCTGTGCTGGTGCTTTTAAATTTCACTGCCACCTTTGACATAGTTGATCACCAGATTATTTAATCCCGCCTCAAAATATGTGTTGGCATTCAAGGTATTGTCATTAAATGGTTTCGTCGTACTTTTCAGGTAGGACTTTTTCCATCCAGCTTAGCCAATACTCCTCAGCTGCAGACCCACTAGGCTGTGGGACCCCTCAAGGCTCCATTTTAGGCCCCATTCTCTTTTCTTTATATTTGCTTCCCCTGGGGTCTATTTTTTGAAAACACAATTCCTTTCATTTTTTTTTGCAGATGACCTACAAGTCGGCAGCAAAGAAATGGAAGCCTTGCTGAGCTATCTAAAATACATTAAATCCTGGATGGAGTTAAACTTTTTATATCTTGACAGAAAAACTTAAAATAATTGATAAATCTGAAATCCTGGATGGCGTTAACAGTGTTCTTTGTTTTGTCCTATTTGTGTTTAGGAGCTCAGGTAAGAACACTGGCATATGTTAATTTTGTTTTCTGTTATGGAAGATTAGGGATTTTATTATATAAATTTTGATTGTTATATTGGCCATTTACTCACTACTGTAGACAGTTACACTGCTACTTTAAATCTGAATTTGACTTGTGTTACCGGCTTTCTTTGGAGTGGGAAGAGTGGGGGTCACTCATCATGTTGTGTCTAGGTTCCCCGAGACATAACAGTAGTCAAGACCAGTTTTTTTTTTCAGCTGAGACTTTTGGGAGATAAAGCCCTATCTTCCACCAAAGGAATTTGAGAGAGACATCCACATGTGTATCTTGTACAGACTATTGTAATTCTCTGTATGTTGGTGTGGATCAGTTGTCTCTTTGTCGCTTGCAGCTGTTCCAGAATGCTCATCTTCTGACTGGAAAGAGGCGACGTGAATACATCACTCCTGTATTGGCTTCTCTCCACTGGCTTCCATTCAACGTCAGGATTCAGTTTAAGATGTATTATTTGTTTTTAAAACTTAACATGGGTTGGCACCTTTCCTATTTGTCTGAGCTGTTGGACCAAAATGCTTCAGTCAGAGCACTGCAGTCATCTCACCAGATGCTTTTGGATCGTCCAAGATGAAGGCAAGATAACTCGAGGTGACAGAGCATTTTACGGTGGCTCCTCAAAATTAGTGGAACAGTTAACAATCTGCCTGTTAACATCAAAACTGCTTCATTCATTTTAAATGTTAAACCTTAACACAAGTTTAGCTTGACATTTGTACATTTTATTATGCTCCTATTTTTTTTTAAAGATTCATTTGTGGGCTTTTTGTGCCTTTAATGGAGGGATAGGACAGTGGACAAAGTTGGAAATCAGGGAGAGAGAGTAGGGAATGACATGCGGGAAAGGAGCCACAGGCTGGATTTGAACCTGGGCCGCCCGCTTGGAAGATGACAGCCTCCATACATGAGGCATGCGCACTAACCACTGCGCCACCAGCAGCTAATTATGCTCCTATTTATTGTGTTTTTAGATTGCTCTTTTTAATCATAGTCATCATTTTATATTGTGTTTTAATCTGTTCAGCAATTTGGTTAACTGAGATTGTTTTAAATGTGCCGTATGAATAAACTTTGACTTGACTTAAGAAACATTTTCATGATAGATATTTGGCTTATGCTTTAGGATCTCTAATTAAACTTTAGAGTTGTACCATTTCACTTATACAACTCTGAAACTAAAAGTAGAGCTCTATGGCAGAACTATTTCAATGTGACCTCAATTGCAACTTCCTAATGTACGCACATTCTGTCAGCTCATTTGACGGACTGACCTTGAAGCATGTGCAAGGCCCCTTTAAGAAAAGATGTAAAGAAAAAAAAAAATCACAGACAGTTTGCATGAGTTTTTTTCCTCCTGACCTGTGCTTCACCTCACGCTTCCCGGAGGCATCTTTGACACTTGAGTCATGTTTAGCCACTGACTCACACCTGAGGAACACAGATTGTCTCAAGAAAATTATTTCAAGAATCGCAGCGCCACTCTGTCCTCTGTGTCACGCTCCCTGTGGGAGAACAGACAGGTGTTTGTGTGCAGGGATGTGGACTGCATAAACAGTTGTTCATTAGTTTGGACAGCAGAGGTCATTGTAACTTACACGCACTTCCCATCAGCACCAAACAATACGATCATATTTACATATAGATAGCATTTATAATGAAGGAAGCCGGCTGGAGCACGTCCAGCATCTGACAGCATCATGTTTGGATCTGTTTAGTGTTTCCAGACACTGACAGGTAAGAACACAAAGTGTCAGACCGCACTGACTCTTCATTAAGAGATATGTACCTTGAGTCTGACCCAGTGAGTCACTGGAAGACTTCCTATGCTGCTGTGCTGCCTGGTGATTTTATCTTTAGGGAACATATATCCAGATGGTTGAATATGTATTCACAAACTATGGAGAGAAGATGTTTTTACTACAATCTGAATCTGAAACATTTGATAAATTAGACATTTTAAAGTAAATATTGAGGATCAAAACAGTCAGCATTTAACTTACATTCAGCAGATAGAAATAGGCTCTAAATATACTTTATATAAGGAGAAACAAAGGCCAACTTTATAACTCCCAAATTAAAAACTAAATGTGATGGCTTCACTCAGTATGTGGAAATAATCAATTAAGGCTACTTAAAGTAAATTAGGTACTTCGTAGTGGTACTGTTAATATGTTTTGCTACTTACATAAAGCACTTACTCCAACAGACTTTTATGAAGGCTCATTCCAAAAGTCAAAGTGTATCTTTGTGAGTAATGGAAGAAATAACTCCAACATTACCTCACCAGTGGGAAGCCACCAAAGAGAATCCCTATGTTGGATGTTTGTGTTTAGTTCAGTTGAGTTCTGACACCATGGGCTCCCTCTGGTCAAAGACATCATCAAACTCTCTGACTGTGACATTACCTGACCTTTACACCGCGGGGGTCTTGAAGACATTCATGCATAAGGGCCAAAGCTCCTATAATCACTGCGACTACTTTTCCGTTTACAAATATTGTCTTCACTTGGCAGAATGTGTGGTTTTAAGGCACAAACCCCATAATTAAAAGGACAGCACTGCAAAATTGTGTTTTAATTGCCACATGCTGAAGAATAGCGTCTGCGTGTCAATAAAATACAATTCGAGTGCTGACATTGTTTTTCTCGATTGAACATTTTTCGGGATTCAGCACCCAGTTGTTTTACGTTGAAAGGGAGTTGAGCTTTTTGTTTAATTCTATCCCAAACCCCATCCTCCTTTTACTGTGAATGAAACATTATCATTCATTTGGAATCACGTTTCTTTGCATTAGATTAAAAAAAATCATATTATTTCTTTCCTATGTGGTTATGGTCAATTTTCTGCCAACTGCGTATGTTTAGGTAAACAAGGTAAACACTGTCCTCCATCCTGAACGTGTTCTCCAAAATCAACAGGTCAGTTTGAGCTGTCAGTCAGACGAACTTGTCCACACCCACATCTTCCTGAGAAACGGTCTAATCGCAGGTCTAATCACCAACACCTGTGTGGGTGCATGGAGGCTTTAAACCAGTAAGTCCTTACAGATTCGGGCTTCAAGATGGGAAAATACTCACTTACCACCCCAGACTTTATGACCATGTTACATCAAACGACCAGAGTGAGCAGTGTCTGCCACAACTCCACCAAAACATTCACAACTTTTGTTACAACTTTACAAGTCTTTTGTAAGCAATTTGATGGTGCACACACACACAGGGGAGCTTTTTGCCAGTGAGTGTAAAATAGCCCAAAAATTCAGCATACAAACTTTTATTATTAGCATATCACTTTATTGATTTGTGGTTTTAACCAGACATGTTTAAATTTCTGAAGAGAACATATATCTATTTACCAGATTGGGCTACCCAAGATTTTCATGTGACAATCTGCCCGTGTTACACAGTTTGTGTTGTGTTGATACACACTTTGATACACACTGAACTGAACTCACTGCATTTTCACACCTATGACCGACTTTATTTGCTCCAAGAACATCTCAAACAATCTGACTTTGTGACTTGATACGCACACTTTCAGTCTGTCACACGCACTAAATGGTACAATAATGTATTATATTAGCTTGGGCTATTCGTTAAAAATACAATAGAAAAACTTAATTTCTTTCTACTTACATTAGAAAAGACACAAAGTGATACCCAGCCTTCAGAAAGGCTTCGATGGACTTGCACACACAGGTAACCATGAGCTTCAAGTTCAGAAGGATCAGTGCTGCTCTCTCCCATTTAGTCTTACATTGATGCTGTTTTTATACAGGCACATGATTCTTTTGAAGCCCAGGCCTCCCCCTCCCCCCCCCTCCCCCCATGAAAGCTGCATATTTTTAAACAACTAGCTGACAGCCAGCAAAGAGTTAAAGTCCAGATCACTTGAGTCAGTGTAAATCCAGTCTGAGATGTCTGACTTAAGGTTGTAGCATTGCCAGGAGTCTGTGAAGCTACTGTCTAGTTTACACTACAGTGCAAAGTGTAAGTTTGGACAGTAAAGGACTGGACTGGGTTTTTACACTTAAATAGACAACAGGTGACCGCTTAGAAGTGCAAGGTGAAACTTTAGGTCAAGAATAGTATTGTGTCACTCTGCCCGTACTCAGAGTGGACTATAGGATCATGATAGGATAATTCAGAGGTGCAACCAGTAAAAAGTAATTTTCTAATCATTTTTCTTCCTAAAAAATGATTTGCTGTCAGTGACTCTGTCTTTGGTTTCTTGTATTTTCTCAGAGAGCTTGTCTTTAGTCTCTTCCATTTTTTCAGATAAGAGTTCTTTTGTTTCCTCCATTTTCTCGGAAAGTCTCTCCTTTGTCTCCTCCATCTTTTCCGTCAGTTTCTCCTTCGTCTCCTCCATTTTGTCCTGGAAGTATTCTTTGACTGGTGGTGGCGTGGATAAGTAGCCATGCTTGCGGAGATACTGAACTGACAGTGATGTACCGCCCAGAGTCACTGTATATCTGGCAGGGGTTGCAATCTGTAGGAAACAAAGAAAAACACAGAAGTCATGAGAGCTAAATGAAGGCTGAATCTGTTACTCCTTTGACAGAAACACTCAAATCTACTTTTCAAATGTACCCCAACTGAGGGGAATTAGACTCATTTTAATCCTTGTTGGGTAATAGGTCAGGAAATAGTATGTTCTTTGATTTGTAACATTTTTTTGATTGATCAATGAGCAGAAATGTTCAATGTGGGCTTAAAAAAAACCCCACAGAGGTCTAATAAATTACCTTGTACATGGCGTATGCAGTCAGAGCGTAGCCACTTGAGGAGTCTCTCAAAAGGCCTACAATGGACTCTGGTAGACCTATCATCTCCAGGAATGGCACAACATTCACACCTCTAGGGGGAAGAGATCACAAGTGGCAAATTTTTTTAAAAAGCTGCAAAAAAAATGTTCATGCTGTTTTTCTGACAAGGTCTCCCATCAGAACTTTTTACAACTCATGTTTAAATAGTCGTAGTTCATTTACCTAAGTTAAGATTGTCTGAAATAATCTGCTTTTCTTCAAAATGAAATAAAAACAGAGTGATGGGGGGGTAATATCCAAAACAGTCAACTTATGAGAAGAAATGGAGTACAAATTGTCATTGTCGTGTTTTTACAGCAGCAATCACAAGATATACTCTTTTCCTTTCACATACAGACACACACTTACCAGCTCAAGTGTGTTTGTGTGTGTGTATGGAAAACTCTGAAAGTGCTGCCTGCACCCTTTTAAAACTAAAATCCTCATACCTTATTGAATTCAAACAGTTAAATCAAGTGTTTTCTATTCATTTATGAAGGTACAGAGAAAAGATTAAAAAAGTGATACATATGTTTTGGTGTTTTAAAGCCTTAAATCATTTGAAGGACTTAGTACCCCACCCATATTATGTTTAGTAGGAGGTCAGAAACACAAAGACTCACTTCATAGCAGCGTAATAGAAGGTCCCGAACCAGACGGAGGACGTCAGTAGATGGACAGGGATCATCACTTTTCCATACTGTTTGAAGGTTCTCTTAAACCTCTGGACCAGGCCTATGGACTTGTCCTGCAGGGGGTCCACCTCTGCAACCTCAGGCACAGCTTCCCTTTCCTGCTCTTCCTGTGTTGAAGGTACAGAGGTGGATTGTGGTTCCTCCGGCGGTGGCTGGTGTTTTGGCTGATGGGCTGCCCTGTTGAAGGCTGACGTTGACAGCAGGCGCCGCCGTGTGGACGGTGGTACCGACAGGCGGAGGGCACAGCAACAAAATGTTACCGGCGGCTCCATGACTGTGACTCCCAACAGCAAGGGGCGGTTTGCTGCGACGCGGCGCAGTGTCCCGTTATTGAGGATGCGCTGCATTATCATCCTTTATTTCTCCTCTCCCTCCTCCTTTCTGCTTCTGTTACGTCTGATCACGGACTGTGGGATAAGAAAACAGGCAAGCATTTAATAAATGGTGTCATTAACTTACTTTCACATCTATATTGATGGGAAGTTGTTTATTATTAACAGCTGAAAAGTGTTTTCTTGATTAGTGATTACCAATTTATTCTGTAAAATGTCAAAATAATGCATTTAATGTCCATCACATTTGATGTGAGTAGGGTTGTCACAAAACCAGATTTCTTATTTTAGATATACTAGAAAAAGTCTAACAATAATGATACGACAGCGAGGACAATAGAAGTCCTAGGAACCTGATATTGGGTAATTCCATGTTTTTAATTACTGTACCAAAAACAAACCAAGCAAACTCCTGAACACTGTCTAAACTGCACTGCTATGTTGGCAACATATTTGTGCAAATTAGACAGTGTGCTCTATGTCTTTTGCTAAGGGCAGTAAAAATATGACCAAGATTCTGTTTTTAATAGTTTCTGTACTTAAATACTTTATCTTTTTCTTATCACTCGTTGTTCCTACATTTGGACTGCAGACTTAAAGAAAATGAATCTTCACTGAAATGTTATTAAATATGACTAACAGTATTTTATGACATTTTATTTCCCACCTTCAGGTACAGGTTACTGACAAGCCATCTTTACATGTCCTGGCTTTCTATTGATAAGCAATTAGTACATTTTTGGAAATACTAGACATACACGTTTTCACTTATAGACTCTAAAGTAGCGGTGGGCGATATAACGATCTTAGATCGTGAAGGATTTTAACGTGCTGACGATCAGCCAAAGCTGAGACATCGTAGAACCGGACTAATGTGTTTACTCTCTCATGCTGCAGTTTATGCTCCGAAACAGACACGTCTCCTCCTTTTTTGCTCCGCAGCGGTGAAAACAAAACTTAAAAGTAAAGTTCGCAAAAACAACTCCATCCCGGTTATATGAAACTGTTCTGATATTTTTCCAAACCGACACGCCGTGATCAACAGTTAACTTATCTGCATAGTTTGCACAGTTAAGTTTACATCTCGGATAGCGACACAAGAAACCGTTTAACGAGCTGGAGAGACGTTAACAGTCAGCCGAGAGTCAGACAGAGAGGAGCTCAGACAGACAGTCAGTGGAGATATAACCCCGGTGTTTAAAATGTTGCTGTCGGTGTTTTCTGCTCTCTCTCAGCTTTTAAAAGTTACTATCAAGCTTCTCCACCTGAAGCTCACCTGTTGTGATAACTGAACCTATAGGGTTTACACTAAACAACGTTACAAAGCAGCAGGCAGGTGAGAGTGAGTAACCATGGTGACTGTCTGTCTGTCAATCAACAATGTCCCGCCCCCTCTATGAATTAAACTCTTCTGTCATTAAAACTTACTTATCATGTGTCACAGAATGAACACATTCTGTATTATGTTTGAAAATATATATATATACTAAAGTTAGTCCAATGATGTCATAAAAAACAACAAAGTCTGCAGAGCCTGTATGAAGCTCCAGCTGGAGGAACTCTGCAGGGCTAAAATAGAACAGAAACACAAGAACTCGAAGTCTACATGTTTTTAAATGAATGCATCACTGTGTGAAAATGTTCCTGACGAACATAAAAAGAGGACACATTACTCGATCATAATTTCAAAGTGGTGAGGAAAACCTTCACATTGTTCATAAATATTGATCAAATTGAGGGAAAGACATTTCTGTTGCTAAAGATGTTCTGGGTGAGAGACCTCCAGACCCCCAACAAAGATGTTTTCAAATAGATTAAACTTGTCAGCGCAGTTTCTGTGCATTTAAAAACATTGTACAGGGAAATAAGTTTGGTTGAACTGGTCAATAACTTACAAATTAGTCTTAAGATCAGTAAAACAATCATGATAAAATTGTGATCGTGATTTTGGCAACAAAAAAAAAGTGATAATATTTTTCCCAAATCGCCCACCTCTACTCTAAAGTTATTTATTACTTCGTCATTCATGAAGGTAAACAGTATTACACAAACTAGGCTAGCTGTGCTCAGGAGTAAATCAATGAAATCACAAATCCATGACCTTGATTACATCCTGGATTAACTTTAACCTATTGTTTCTTTTGATTTCACAGGTTTTATGGCATACTGAAGGTCCTGGACACACCTTGGCTTATGATTGCGCAACCATAAATGCAGAACGAGTGGCTGAGTTTATCTACAAGGTTCATATATGTTCGTCTCAGAATCAAATTCTAATTTAAAAAATAAAGCCTAAACCAGATGTTACTGCAGAATAAGGCAAAGTATGCTGCCATATTATTAGATAACCTATGGGTCAACCTGCTAGCAGTCAGCAAAACAGCAAGAGAAGTAGGCCATCAACACAATTAGACTTACCTTTACCTGCAAAACAAAAACCCTTAAAATGCATAAAAGTAATAATTTCAAAACGCGTGACTTATTACACAACATATAAGCGGAAGTCGACTGCTAAACTGCATGCTCACTTTACACAGGCTGCTATTTTCGGCTAGTTGACATTGGCTTGTTTAGGTTGGAGGACGCGAGGATTCAGCTTTCTGTGCCGAGGTTTCGAGGACACTGTCCGGCTGGAGGTGAAGTCATGTTTAAGAGGCATTCATCCTGTTTAAGTGGTTATAGTTTAAACACTGTCTGGCAGGCAGACTAGTTAAGGCCAGACTCTGAACAGCTGCCAACTTTGCCTTCTAATGCATGACGTTAGCTACTGAGCTAGTAGGTAGCAGCACTTCACACAGAAGGAGAAGTAGTCGATAAGTAATCTAAGTAAAACACACACTTCTCTAGAGGACGCAGAGTTATACTCACGTTTGTTGCTTTGTGTTAATGTCAAGACAAAACTGAACTTCTTAACCCATACAGCCATAAGAATTAGCCTGTGCTATGAGGCACCACATTTATCACTGCTGCTGCAGCACCGACTTGCCTGCGTGCAGAGCAGCGTGTAACCCCAATGGCTCAAGGAATCATGGGAAATGTAGTTTATATTACCCCGGGGTGTTGTCAAATGAAACGCACCACGCTTGACGGCCTAGACTTTGGAAAAAATCAGTTTCCCAGCATGCCCAGCGCAATGTCAACCCTCTTTGACAGATTTGAACTACAACTAAGCTTGTAGTTTTTTTTTTTTGTTTGTTTGTTTTTTTAATTAAGTGTGCCACCGACGACCTTCAAACCTACTACTTTGTACATAAAATATATATCTAAGTGTCTCCAGATTTAGAAACCCTTTTTATATTACTGACTATACTTGTTAGATGTGTCCTAATGCTTATTATCACTTACAGTCAAATAAGCATTACTGCTATGCCTTGCTCCCAAGTCCAGCAAACTAAACCAAAATAAAAATTCTCAGTTGTTTAAATACAAACATACCTAAAGCATTACTCATCCATCTGTACTGTGTGCCATTCATAACACACCCAGACAGAAAGTCATGTGATTTAGACAAGTGCACCTCAACACTTGCATTGGTAGAGTTCAAGCAGCAGAGGGTAGCATAGGCCTACTCACATTGTTGTTGAAGGACCACCCATTGCCATCAGTTGTTAGTGAAGCACGTTTATTTACTATGTGTTAGAACTGTGCTATATATTCAATGCTGCCATTCCTCTTCTGGACTATCTTTATCTTTACATGTAGACTAAAGTTGTTTTAATGAGTAGGCTAGTTCATATGTTAATGAAAATTACTAAAATTTACACTGATGCTTCCGTTTGACCTGCAAAAGCAATCGTCAAGGGACTTAATGTTTTATTTCTTTACAGTTATTCTTATTGCCTGTGCAATTTACATCCTGTTACTGGACAGATCTTTATGTATTACTTCCACAGAAAAGATTCACAGTTGCTATATTTTGCCAGATCAGTCTTAATAAAGACAAATGAACGCAAATAATTCACAAACATATTTTTACGTTACATGTGTAATTGACTGTCTTTCAAAAACATTTTACTGTCCAGACAAAAACATCTCTCATATATAAATGGTAAATAAACTTATAAACACATTTCACAAATGTATGTCTGGTTTCAGTTTTCATCACAAACATATTTGGATGTGGTTGCATTCATAAACAAACCGTTTAACAACCCACAAATGCATTTTTAAAAAATCAAGGAATCATCTCTAGCCAATCAGACGTCTCCATACGTTTCAGCCTAACCTAAACCATTGAAAAAATTTGATTTTCAGAGAAATCCTAAAATATATTTGTGTCCTTCTCTTTGCATTTACCCCTATTGAGACTAAACTGACTCCATATTAATAGGAGCAGGATAAGCTCTTTCACCAGAAAGCACTATTGGGCACATACAGGACCAGAACAGCATTCAGATAAGATGCACAGCTTTGTCTGCAGGCATCTCCAAAATAGACTAACACTGAAAGTTCCTGACAGGAGCTTCAAAAGAAGGTTAGTTAAAAAAAAAAAAAATGTTAACCTTATTATGTCCTATGATATGAAAACACACTCTTTCAGTAAGTTTAGTCTTATGGTTTGTCTAAGAGCCTGTGTGTGTGTGTGTATATATATATATATATATATCTTTTTAAAAATCTGTCTTTATTGTAAATGACCACCTACATTGAATGTAAAACGTTACGCAGATCATCCTTGAAGCTAGACGTAAGTCAGTGTCATACTAAAGAGAATCGTTTGATGCTTGCTGACAGAGGGGTTCAAATTGAGTCGTCTTGTTGAAGAAGAGTCTCTAAACACTAAGCACCTTTTTCTGTGTTTGTGCCCACACATTTGTAGTGAATCAATGATGAGTCCACAAACACACCTGAGGCTAAGCACACATCATTACTGCTTCAAGAGTCTCCGGTTCTGTCCTCTATTAACACCCTAATCCAACCTATAGGGATGGATCAGATCAATCCTGCATCACAGATGTGAATTCTATTGATTGTGTTATTTGCCTGCGCACCTGTCTGAATAATGGGCCAGCAGGGGGATC